TCAACATGGCAACTTCCGTGGAAGGCGACCCCCCTCCCTCTGTAGATAATAATGGCTCATTCAACGATTCTTTTTTTCAAGTGATTATACATTAATCAAAACATATCTATGAACATTGTATTCCATTTCTGCCAATGTTGCACACTGGACCTTTTTAATGTACTCCTTCTGGCCTTCCTCCACAGCAGGGTTTACATTAGTTGGCATATGTTGGTTTCTGGCCGGTATCACGTGTAGTTGTCCGGCAGAGGAAAACATCAATGGCCAAAATGTCTGCTGGGAAATATGTCAAATAAATAAATATATTCATTAATAGCAGGTTGAACAGCCTGATACTGCGTGACCTATAAGATATATTGCCAAGGCAGCTTCAAAGGAACCGATGTCCGCTGTCATTGAGAGATTCACAGACTGATCTCTGTCTGTCTCTCTCTCTGTGTGTGTGTGTGTGTTCTTCGCTTTTCTCAGCAACTGTTCCTCTTCACACAGACTTCACACTTTGCGGGCGTATTTCTGGCGACCCAAGGAAGTGTAGTATTGACTTTGGTGCAGTTTGGACACACAACAGTCCAATATTAATAAACTTTGAATAAACAAGCGACCAGCGCTCTGTGCAGCAGTGGGGCGGCGTTTCAGTGCGGCACTGTCCAGAGCATCTCTCCTGCTGGCTGCTGACAGCACTGTCAGCTGAAGAGTCAATCACACAGCACGGTATATGTGCAGTCATAGAGTTTAATGGATCTTACTGCATTTACTGTAACATTAGAGCACCAAGCTGAGAGCGCCAGAGTCAGAAATGCTCTGTGTAGCGCTTTCCTCCGTTTACATCTTCCATCTCTGTTTCATCCCTCTTTCCTTCACAGTTATGTATTTAGTGTTTGTGTTGTATTGCTGTTTAAATGTAGTCTATTTAACACGTGTCCAGTAGTTGCTCTAAACAGAAAGGAAAGTGTAGCGTAAACTCTTCACCACAGTCTGGATGTGAGAGTGCTGTGTGGAGTAGCTAACTAAACACACTTATTTTCTAACTCATGATTCAGATCATCAAATTCCATGAATCTTGTAATCAGAAGGAAAAAAAAGTGAAATCTTTACATACATTACAGTGTTATACACAGGCATACACCGGCTACTCCTACACTGAAGCTGCATTAGGCTATGCACAGTTGGTATTATTTAAACAGGTTCACAGACTGATAGTAAATATTGAGATGACAGTAACATAATGGCAGTTTAGTGGTTAAATAAACTCAACAAGGTGTCCAGACAGGGGGAAGTTACCTAAGAAACCAAGAAGAGTTTATTAAGCCGGGACAAATTATTGAGGCAGTGAAGATTTATCAAACACTGTACCTGCTTGAGCTAGGTAATGTGTTACATATCTAGCAGAAGGTAGCAGGCTGGCTAATGTTTACAAGCAGACTAGTTAAGTTAGCTACATTTATATCCTGCTCCTGCCCTCAGTCAGCTGTTTTTCTGCTGTAATGTCATAAGAAACAGGAAACTAAAAACTAAATAACCAAGCTACAACTAACTTTGTCGCTATAACATGAGGAAAAATAGATGAATTTGCTATCTAATGCAGCTAATGCCTGTTGTTAAGCTGTATTTGCTGATACTGCATGATAAACAGTTGTCTTCAACTTCATTTAAGATGTCTTGGTCTGTAAGCTTGGTACTGTTACCTACTTTGGTGCCCCCCTTCCCCCTTGTAGGGGGCACAGTTGTTTCCCCAGCCCCGGAAACGGCCCTCAGACTGTAATCAAATCAAAATCAAGACATCGACATCCCAAGCTGTTGTTTCCCAAATTATTCCATCATCTGGAGAGTCAGGCATGAAGCTATAGGGTGAGTCCCAGTGTATTACAACAACACGTGCATTAATGTGTATACATAGATAGTGCTGGAACCCGGTGTTAACCTCGCTTCCAGGATAGCATTAACTGTTTTGTGCGAGTGTGCCTGTTGTCAGAGCAGCACTCAGGCTCTCTGCAGCATTATGTAATCCCCGACCTTCCACTTCCCTCTTTATAGCCAGTGGTTTTTGGCAGACGTTTGTCTTAGCAGGAAGGGGGTGTTTCTTTCAACCTGTGGTTACAGCATGGGTGACAGCAGTTTTGAGGGGGTTAAGTGGTTGAGAGTTCCTGGTTTCAGTCTGATGTCTTTATGAAGATATTTTCTTGGGTTTTGTGTGTGTGTGTGTGTGTGTGTGTGTGTGTGTGTGTGTGTGTGTCTGTGGAGTGTCTGTGTGTGTTTTTGCCAGCAGCCTAGTGTGCGATTGTGAGCCAGAGAAATCTCATAGTATCTGCATGTGTTCTTGCAGTCTGCATGTCTCCTTTCAGGGTCTGGCTGCTGTGACTGCTTTAATGGATAGATGATGCAACTCCCCTTTCCTCTCTCTACCAGGCCTGTGTGTGTGTGTGTGCGTGTGTGTGTGTGTGTGTGTCTTTTAGAGTGAGTGAGAAAGAGACATGGAGAGGGGGATGTCGCTGAATGAAGCTTAGCCTGGATGTTTGCCCTGCAGGGTGGGTGGTTGCTCGGCAATGGCAGTGTGTTTGTTTTATTTTTAGAGAGAATCACTGCTGGTGAACATAACAGATTTCTCTCTTTCTCTCTCGCACGTATACGAACACGCTTTCTTACCGCACATTAACATATATCGGCTACTTCTGAGCGGCAATAGCTGGCAGCGAGAGCTTGATGGAGGGAATTCTATTGATACAATCACGGAGCAGTAAAGCAGTAGAAATGTGAATGGCGTGGCCCACTGCCCCACCCTGGACATGAAATCTAACCGGCCTTGTGTATTTATAGAGCTTCTTTTTCTCGCACATAGACTATGACACTGCACACATGCGCGGAACAGACACAAACACACACACACATACACGTTCCTCTGAAACCAGCTGTAGTCACTCCTTGCATGTACCAGCCTTTTTGGGCACATGCCTGTCATGCCGTGTGTGCGCTCATGTGGGAGGTAATGCCGAGCGAGAAATCAATATGTTGCGGGAAAAAACCAAAAAAACCCTGAGCTCAGGGTGCTTTCAATTTTTATCGCTTTTATTATTGATTTCAAAATCTCATGAGTGCTACACCAAAGAAGCAATGTATACTGTAAGTAGCTCCGTGCTGCAGTAGTTGCTGACATTTAGGTCAGAATTGATTGGTATGAATGGGAAAGTATAGAAAGTACAGGTCAAGAAGAAGTTTTAGTGCCTTTCATTTCTTGGAGTTGAATGAGGGAGAATATTCTGAGTTCTCATATTAAATTTCCTTTCCAACTGCAGCTTACAACAGCTACATTTTTATTTCACTTCAAACCAAATCCTTCGTATCTATATGGAAAGCTTACTCTCCCCTTTTATGCGTCTGAATGATCGCTGAGCAGCTTGAAATATTAGGCGATGAAACAGCCATTTCTGGCCACCTCTGTTAGCTCTCTTAGCGTGTATCATGCTATCACAGACTCCCAGGGACCAAACAAGCACAGAAATCCACTTTAGAAAGCAACGTCATCCAGCAAGGCACCGCGTTTGGCCGACGCTGTGATAACTTTCCAGAGCAGTGAAATCCCTGATCAGCTTTCAAACTCATGGATCTGTTACTCAAACTGTACTTTCTGGATTGTATTTTACTGTCTCACCAGTACCTGAACCCCATCCAACACAGCTCCTTGAACAAAGGCGCTGTCCGCCTGCCTGACTGTATCAGCATCCATATTCAGCCTTTTGATTGTGATTCAAGGTTAGAGAGGGTGTATGGTCGTCAGAGCGGCGTTAAATTAAAGTTTAAGGAGAGGCAAAAACTAACCCTCAAAGACAGATTTCATTCCCTTTCAGCTCTTGGCAGGTGAGCATTTCAGGACTTGCTGATTCAGTAATGTCACACTCTGTATTCTTGCCAACAGGTTAACTAATGGTATAAGTTACCTTGTGCTAAGAGTGAAAGAGGCTCTGTGTGCTCAAAGAAGCTTTACAGCTGCAGCGTAATCCTCATCTCTGCGGTTCCTCCTCTGCTATCTTTGTCTTGTTGTCAGGATCTCTGGCTCTCACCATCCATTGAGTAATTAAAAGCGCTCTGTAATCACAGTATGAAGCAGCCTACTGAACTACTGACACCAAAAACTGGTGATTTACAGAGGGATTTACAGGACCTGGGATATTATTATAGACAATAGAGTATTATGTGATCATAGATGTGACAAAATGAATCTGTTTTGCTTTTACTCACAATTGTAAGGTTTTAAACATTGAATTGAAGAAAATACCTGTATACTGAGTTATGGTGGGCAACAAAAGCTTGCAATAAGAAATGTGAATGTAATTGAGAAGTAAATCAAATTCTGGATTTTCTCTTGAAATGCTTATTTCAATGTATGTAAATCCTGGAGTTAATAACAATATGATGTGTAACGCTTTCTTCCTTCGTTCTATGAGTTTTTACTTCTACTATCACAATAACGAGCTACTTCTAAAACATGTGAATGAGACCTGATGTGACCTATATTCTAACAAATATTGCCCAACCAGTACCAAACAATATTCCTATTTGGGAGTTTCTAAATCCAGTAACAATATATATCGAGTGATAGATAAATTATGATATGATAAATAATTTGCATAAACTTCTTAATCTTGATGCAGGTCCCTTAGATTTGATTTTTTAAGTAATTGCAACCAAAATATACCAAGACGGATGTTTTTATAAAAAAAAAAACTTTTGTGCTCTCTGGTGGACAAACTATTAAATAGTGAAACTGTTTTAAATTACCTCAAACCTAGTTTTGCAATTTTTTGTTACTTATTGACTGACATATACACCGATCTGCAATAGGCTAATATTGGCAGATTTATCCGTCTAGCTCTGTATACAATATATTTATGGTACAGGAGTGCTTTGATAAAAGTCTTGTTTGGTCAGGGAAAGATTACCTGCTTTGTCCTTGGTGCTGATGGTGTAACAGTTTCTCTCTACTGTTTCCTTTTATTAATCTCCAGCTGTAGGCAGCAATGGGTGCATTCCTGGACAAGCCGAAGACGGAGAAGCATAGTGCCCATGGTGAGGGTAATGGACTTCGCTATGGCCTGAGCTCCATGCAGGGCTGGCGGGTGGAGATGGAGGATGCCCACACAGCCGTGGTGGGCCTCCCCCATGGACTCGCCGACTGGTCCTTCTTTGCTGTCTACGATGGCCACGCAGGCTCCCGGGTGGCCAACTACTGCTCCGGCCACTTGCTGGAACACATCTTGTCAGGAGGGGCTGACTTCAGTTCAGGACCCGGCTCCGTGGAGGGCGTGAAAGATGGCATCCGCTCGGGCTTCCTGAACATTGATGAGTACATGCGCAGCTTCTCTGACCTGCGGCAGGGCCTGGACCGCAGCGGGTCAACAGCCGTGTGCGTGTTGCTCAGCCCGACCCACCTCTACTTCATTAACTGCGGCGACTCGCGGGCCGTGCTGAGTCGAGACACCAAGGTGGGCTTCTCCACCCAGGACCACAAGCCCTGCAACCCCCGCGAAAAGGAGCGCATCCAGAACGCTGGCGGCTCAGTCATGATCCAGAGGGTAAACGGCTCCCTGGCTGTGTCCCGGGCCCTGGGGGACTACGACTACAAATGTGTGGATGGTAAGGGACCCACGGAGCAGCTGGTGAGCCCTGAGCCCGAGGTGTGTGTATTGGAGCGAGCCGCCGAAGGAGACGAGTTTGTGGTGCTGGCATGCGATGGAATCTGGGATGTCATGTCCAACGAGGAGCTGTGTGAGTTTGTCCGCTCACGACTCCTGGTGTGTGACGACCTGGAGAAGGTCTGTAACTCAGTGGTGGACACCTGTCTGCACAAGGTAAGCCTTTTCTCCCACATATGATATACAGATATCACATATGGAACATGACTTTAAATCCAAAAAGGGAAAAATAAAAGGGATCTTGCTGTTTTTTTAATGATATCCTGGTGATACTGATTTGAATGTATAAAGTAAATCTTGACTAATCAAATTCTCATCTGCTTGGTCATCCTGGTTACTGTGACACAAATGAATAGTTAAAGCTGTTAAGTCATTGCTTTGACTAATTTATCAAGTAGTTGGTAATCAAGAACAAAAGCTGTGTATCGTTCTTATTAAGCAAGAATTTAATGTTATATTGCGAGGCAGTTAAATCACTGTACAAATATGTGAAGATTAAAATCGGTGAGATGAATAATTAGTGGTATCAAGGCGCAAAGAAATTAGTTTCACTTCACAGAAAATATTCATTGTTTTTTGCCGTGCCTCAGAAATAAAAAATGATTCATAATTTGATAAGGAAAATATATTTTGTAGATTTCTGTCGGAGAAAATCGTTTAATCTCAACCCAGTATCAAGAATTGTATCTAATTGTGAGTTGAGTGTAACGTTACCTCCCTGTTATTACAGAACCGTAAATTTTGTCTAACGTTACTTAATAATAATAAATTATGCATGACTACTGCAATGTAACAAAAATGTATGTACGGTTTATTTAATAAAACCTAACATCTCACAGAGAGAGATCAGATAAATCAGATGATGAATTATTCATCGCTTTCTATTCCATCCTGGCGCATCGGCCTTCTCGGCTATTGATCCGAGAAAAAGCAAGAATCACTTTTTGCCTCAGCTGAACCCACCCACCAGTCCACATCTTGGACTTTTTACCTTCCATGTATCTTCTTATTTTGTGTCTCGAGTACTCCAAGAACCAGCCAGTGCACAGCGGTCTGGTTATTTTTACTTTACTGGATGGGTTATCTCAAGTAACAGCCACACACTGTCATAAATCTCCTCTGCTGCCGCTGCCTTTTGTGATGTATGTGACACTGTACACTTACAGAAAGTTACTCTGACCACATTGACTTTTACAAGGTAATGACAAGGTGACTATCCATTGGTTTAAAGCCAGAGCTACATCTTGTCTGTTATTCCGTGTCCTTTAAATGCCAATTAATATGCAGTCCAATGTTTAGGCTATGGCCTCCAGCCAGAGGTTGTGCTGTTCTGTTTCTTATACAGCTATTGCAAGTGAATATTCTAGGAATGGGAGGCGATTTTATTGATAACCGTGCCATTATCAATTATGCTCATGGGTCTAATTCTTCATTGATTCCTGATTAATTTTCTGTGTATCAACCCAGCTGTTTTATTAACGGCAACCAGCCAAAAACTGGTGAAATATGAAAGTGGGTTGTAGATTTAAAGGGTCCAGCGTGTAACATTAAGTGTGATCTATATGTTTTTAATCAGTGTGTAATAACCTCCTGATAATAAAAAGAGTTGTTTTTTTAGAATGACTTGCTTTTATCTACACAGGGAGCTACTAGATAGGGCAAACTAGATAGGAAAACATTCAGAAAAGTTTATTTCTGAAGGACATCAGGTAGTAAGTATGTATTAAACAGTTTATTACATCCAGGTTGTTTTTCCAACATTTCTCTTTCTCTATGTATTGGAGAAAAGATGTTTGCTTGTCTGCTGTTGTCTCAGAGTCACAACCCATCTGTCTTTTATAATCCTACAACTCCACAAGAATAAGTACCGTAAAGGTGTCCTCTGGAGTTTTATACTCACATTCAGTGTTACTTCCCTCAAGTCATTGTTGTGTATCCTTGAGGTATAACAAATATTTTGAATGGCCTTCCTCATAAAGCATTTGCAAAGCCAACAATACCAACGGTATGTTTTAAAACAGGGCCATTTATATAGATATATTTTTCCATTGTAAAATGTCCTGCTTACTATATTTCTTGGTTGCAAAAAAAGTTGGTTGCAAAAACAGTTGTTTATTTAATTTAATTGATATATCGGTCAGTAAAACATTATCACAATTTCTTATTAATTCTATTTCCCTATGGCTGGGCTATAGCTACTAACCTATGTTGGTGCCAAAGACTTCCACTTATTAATTACACCATCTGCAATCATCATGCAATGAAAAGCTTTGGCTATGAAAAGCAGCTGCAGGAATTGTTGAAATATATTTTTAAAAAGCATGCTAACGTGGCCCGTTTTTATCTTTTTTCAGCAGCAAGTTTACGCTTTCATTCTTGTAATCAGTGTCGTTTTCTCCAGTTTTTATAGAGTAGTGTCAAAAAGACCACAGGCTGTGACTGTGCACAGATTTTATGGGTCAATTAACCAAAATCTTGTCAAGTCATGTTGATGTTTAAAAACATTTTTGCCGCAGTAAAACAAAAAGAAAAAGATTTCCCTGTACGATTAACAACTGCAAAAGCTACCTTTTGTACAACATAAATTTAATTGGACTCATTTGTTCTGTCCTCCTTTCTGCAGGGGAGCAGGGACAACATGAGTGTGGTGTTGGTGTGTTTTCCCGGAGCTCCCAAGATCTCAGAGGAGGCTGTGAAGAAAGAAGAGGAATTGGATAAATACCTGGAGACCCGTGTTGAGGGTCAGCACATGCAACACGTGTACACGCACACCTTCACGCTATCAAACATAACAGACACGGCTAGAGTAATGTACAATTAGAGTCACAGAACTTAAAAATGCTTTAGTCTTGATAGTTAACCAAACTTTTAAGCTACCACTGGCTGACGTGCTGTATTTTAAACTTATGGATTATTATAAACATTTAAGTGTTCAGTTGTAGCTTACTGCCCACGCTGTTCTTTGGGTCCAGCAGCCGTTTCGATCCCTCTTTCAAAAAAATGTTTTTTAAAAAGGTTAAGTGAAACAAGTGACCACATACTGTGCTCAGTTTCTGTGTACATAACCAGGACAAAATAAACATTCTTTAGGTAGTACAAATATTTGAAATCGGTCTGCTTCACAGTGGTGCTGCAAATGGTGAGCAGTGGTGTATCTGATTTTTCCACCGCTATGGGTGAATTCTCAGCCTTTGCAGAGGGAGGTGGAGGCTTAACACCTAAAACTTGGTGTCAAATATACTATAACCTTGCCTGAGTATACAGCATAACCTCTCACAAACCCCTTGTGTACTTTTTGTTTTGTGTGTAGAGCTACTGGCAACCTGTGGGGAAGCTGGAGTCCCTGACCTGGTGTCTGTCCTGAGGAGCATTGCCACAGAGAACATCCCCAACCTTCCACCTGGCGGAGGCCTGGCCAGCAAGTAAATGCCCAGAACAACATTTTATAAACATACTGTAAAATACTACTGGACTTGACTATCCACTGTGTCTAATTTTCCTCCAGGATATTGCATCCTAATGTACACACAAGTCATAATTTAATGTGTTGAACTATATCCCTAGCTTTACAAGTTGCTACTAATAACTTTATATTTATATAGCGCGTTTTCTAACGTGGTTACCACTAGCTTAACAAGTTGCCAATATAAATAACTTAAGTTGTATAGTGCTTTAAAAAGGACATGAGAGATGATATTAAGATTTATGGTCTGTAACTAAAGAATATATTACTTATTAATTAATCTACAAGATTGTCAGAAAATAGTGAAAAATGCCAACAAAAGCTTCCCACAGCTCAAGGTGACATATTGTGTGTTCTTGTTTTATTCAGCCACAGGCCAAACTCAACAGATATTCAGATTTATATGAGATATGACAAAGAAAAGCAGTAAGTCCTCACTTTTGAGACGCTTCAATTGGAGAACTTTTTCCCATTTTTGCAAAGTGAATTAAACGATTAAGTAATATAAGTAATATAATAATGTTCAGGAGATACAACCTCATACAAATCAGTTAAAAGTCGGTTTAAATGTACCAGTTTTTTTTACGATTTTATTCATCCATGCATATCTCCCATTAAACTATATGTGCTTTGGGGGAAAACCTTTTTGATTGGCACATTTTCATGATTTCATTGTTGTTAAATTTTCCAACTTGCAGAAGCAACCGAATATGGATCACTGCTTAAAAACTTACAGACATGCAGATCCGCAAAACACTTTACTGTACACAGAGGTTCAGTAGTCTCTTTATGCATGAATACCAATTATCGACTCAGTTGCTTTCTTAGTTCCATTTAAATGTCAATCAATATGCATTTGCAAAGAATGAACCGAGGTCATGTTTGTATTAAGTTGGGAGTTGTTCTCCTCTCTAAGCGGCAAACTGTGTGCTGTTTGTGTGTTTGCAGACGGAGTGTGATCGAGGCGGTGTACAACAAGCTGAATCCTCACAGAGAAGAGGAAGGGGTAAGTTGATCACACTGAACCGTTCACCTCTCCAACCTTTCACTCCCTCTCCCCACCCCACCTCAACATGACCTCATGAACACACACCAGCCCAGACAGGGACAATCTTTTGTACGTGTGTATATGTATGTGTGAGAATGATGTGTGAAAGAGGGTGGAGGATAGACTTGACAGAATAACCTTGGCGAGCTCGATGAAACTCAATTGACTGCATTCCATGTTGAAAAGCATAGAAGCCCGGTGCAACCAGTTTCCATTTTATATTTATCATAGAAACAGGATGTACAGTAAGACCTTGATAAACCTCTTTTGTGCACGTCCTTTTTAAACAAGTCAAACTTACAGATGAATGAACAGATAGTACTGAATTATCTGAATTCAATGATTGGAAACCTTTTAGGTATACTAACTAGAATATTTTAGTTTAGTGTACAACAAATAGCATTTTAAAAGATTGCCTCCAAACGGCATATTAAAAGCATATCTTCTCCTCGTCCCTCATTGTAAAATGTAAATGATCTATGAACTTTTCTCCTTCAGCACATGAATGTGAGAACTTCTCGTGTCAGGCTCAAACATCATTCTGCACAGTGAAGGTCAAACATCCCATTGAAGTGACTATAAGAAAAACATATTCAGTGCAGGGACACTTGAAGCTGAATATACTGTTCACCATGCTGATAAATAGTGAATAGCTGAAGTGTGTTCAAATTGCAAACAAAAGCAGGTTTTGTGGTAGACTTTCATTGTCAAATTTATTGTGACAGACCATCTCCGGTGCTCTGAAATGTTCTGGTTTCTACACACATTTTCCTATATTCATTAAAAACTACAAAAATGGAAATTAGTTCATGGTTATTGTTCTCCTGGCTTGGTCATTTTGATTTGATTATCCTTTTTTTAGGGAAACCTACTCAGAAATATTGAATACCACTATGAATTTATATCATAAAGCCTTAAGATGAACATTTTGGACGCTTAACGTAGCACAAAAATGATGCCACTAGATACATTTGAAAATAACCCGATTATGGAGAGTGATGCAGGTATAGGCAATATAAATCCTCTGCAGAGCATTTGAAAAACACTGCTATGAAACCTTCAATCAAATCCCAGCTTGAGAATAAAGCTAGGTTTATCAGTTTATATAAAATTCATATGTAGCCTAGGGGGAAACTTTACACCCAGCATCTTCAAGAAATAGCTATCAAGGCAACAGGAAGTTTACAAATGCTATTCTCATTCAAAAGAAGAGAAGCAGTGTGAAGTGTTATTACCAGCCTGGAAAGGTGGATGTGATGGAGGAGGTGTGTGTGTATGTATGAAGGGCACATAAGTTTATTTGTCATATTAATGTCAGTGGAGTCTTGACTTGCAGGCTCTTTTCTCTGGGCTGTGTGGGTGCTGACAACCCCCCTTCCCCCTCTCTTCTGTTACACCATACAGCGAATATCACAAAGGGTTGTTGGTCACAGGGTCAGAGGTAGCGTTTGCATGGGCCTGTCCGACTGGTGCAAGAATGTCTGACATTGTCACGCTAGTGTGTGGTAGATATTTGTGTGACAACGATGTGAGTATTGTGCCGCTGTTTGTTAGATGTATGTTGGTGTGTGTTTGACCATGGAGCGTGCCTGCAGAGTCTGACCCCTGGCGTGTCACCTCAGGCCTGTGCGGGGGGAGAGGAGGAGAGTGAGGAGGGAGGTGGCAGCACGGCGGCTCATCTGCTGGAGGCTCTGCGGCAGTTCCGCCTGCACCACCGGGGGCAGTACCGCACGGTGCTGGAGGAGTCCCTGGCCGCCTACCAACTGCGGGGGGAGAGCACTGCCGAGGGAGCAGGGGAGGGCAGGAGAATCTACGAGGACGCCGACGCCGACAACGACGACCAGGAGCAGACCGCCTCCCCTCCCTCTCCCCCTTCGCCCCCGCCCTCCCCCGCCAATGCCGAGTCGGAGGGCAGCCAAGACGCGCCCGCCCCCGAGTCCAATCCCTCCTCTGACTGAGCGCTCTGTCCGCAAACCCAACCCACCCATCCGACCCCAGAGCTCTAGTCAGATGTGCTATGACCTCTCCTCCTCTTTCCTTCATCACAGAACTTGAATGGACATATCGGCCACCTCCTGCTCTATCAATAGTCTGCCATTGCCATTCATTAATATTTTATTAATGCAGTGGAAATAAAAATGGCCCTTCTGTCTATTCAAGTTCCGTCTCAGAGCCACATATATACCTTCTACCTAATGAGGACTCTTTCTCTCTCTGTGTGTGTGTGTGTGTGTGTGTGTGTGTGTGTGTGTGTGTGTGTGTGTGTGTGTGTGTGTGTGTGTGTGTGTGTGTGTGTGTGTGTGTGTGTGTGTGTGTGTGTGTGTGTGTGTGTGTGTGTGTGTTTCCCCTGTCCTCTGAACACCCTGGCTTGGATCACCTAACTTGCCAGCCACTTTTACAACTTGATAACACAGACTGATGTTTACAATAGGAAATAATCAATAACAAATTATTATTACATGCAAAAGTGGCTGGTGAAGCAAAAATGAACCTTGCACACGATGGCCTACATTTACCAGTATTGGCTTCTGGCTGATTTCCCACTTGAACCCCCCTCCCCCTCCTCTTCCCATATCCCCGGTCCTCTGCCCCACTCCTGCTTACAGTGGACAAACTGACAAAGAAAAGGAGAGGAGACCCTCTGAACTGCAGCTGTGTCCAACACACACTGCAAAGTCTCCAGGCCAACTTCATCTACAGACTCAGAACACACTCTTTTTGCGTATATGTATGTATGTATGTATGTGTGTGTGCGTCTGCATGAGTTTGAGTGACCGAGCAAGAGACCAGTCATCACTACTGAAATTTCTGTTTTTGGTTGCGGGTGATACTTGAGTGTTAGCCCATTTATCAGCATGTTCAGCGATGTAAGGTTGTTCAAAGCAGTCTTGGTACTGAAAAACCGAGGGACACTTTTGTGTAAGTGGGTTGGTGGGTGTGTACTTAGTAGTTTGAGCTTCATTTCATTAAAATCATTCCCTAACCACATATACCTAATTCCACATCATCACATGTGTTAGCATGCTGCCTCACACTCACAAAGAGGTTGAAGTCTGTCCCTGGTTATTATTCAGGGGGAATGTAAATGTGTCAGTAAACACACTGGTACCAGGTGACCAAAGGGGCCATAAAATTAATGTGTTTAAATGAAAATAAGACTAAAAAGTCTGTAGCCATGGTAGCAAGCCTGTAAGGCTATAATGCTCATTACACTCTAGGAAACAAAATTATTGGATGGATGGAAAAACAAAGAGAAACTTTCAGTTGTGGGGAAAATGGTGGCGCCAGACAAAAGGTCATGTTTCCAAAATAATGTTTCCTTTCTACAGTGTTTTATTTGTCTTAGACATACAATATCTACGTCGCACTACAATGTGTGACGTGGTATAACTTTAATATCTGTCTGTGTTAGTAGTAAACTGCTGTTAGCAGCTCTAAATCATGATATAGCCCTGTTTGGGAGCGTCTTATCCACTGCTCGGGACACCGTCCTGTATGGTGCCATAGAAAAACTCACGGATGTAGCTGTGCACTGGAGGTATGGCAGGTAACCAGATGTAAATTTGCCAAAACAAACAGGTAGTCTTCATCCTTGAAGTCTTTTCTCTTGTAAAAAACCCCAAAAAACTCTTTCAGACAAAGCATAAATCTCACCTTTGTCTGTCACTTTTTATTTGTATTATTATTTTTTAATTTAGTGCACCACAATGAGGCCGAGAGGATGCCCCACTAGCACACTTACTTGGACAAGCGAGGCAATTTATTAGAAGTGTTTTCGAACTGTATTTTCGGTTTTATAAAGGACTTCAAGAGGGAAGACTAATGGGTTGTTGGCAAATGGCAAATGCACTTCTGGTTAACTTCCCTATGTCTGTTAAAGAGCAGCACACAAGCTGAGCTTTTCTATGGAACCATCTGGGAGTTTTGAAACAGGGCTGCTGCTGATATACTAATATACTAATGTTTGCATGATAAAATGCCTACGTGCCTGTTAACAACCGGATTTTAAATGCTATTGAAGACATGTTAGCATGATAACTCTAGCTGTTTTGAGCTGAATGCAAATGTCACCGCGGGTAAGCTGAGTTTATGAGCAGCACATCTCAGGCCGATGAAACTTGAGTTAGGTCGAACTGTGTGGAGCTGAACTCGAGAACGTGTTAACATGCCTACAGTTAACATGTTAGCACACATGTTGCTAGTTAACATACTAACAGTTAACATGTAACATTTAATATTTGGCTTGTTTGCGTGCTCTGTGTGAAGTGTTTATCATGTTATCTTGCTGTTATGGGAACGTGTTATTATGTTAACGTGCTAGTGTGCTATGTTATCATTCATGTGTAAGGTGGCTGTGGCTGGCAGGCATGCTGTCATTAGTTTTAGTGGTATTCTGTCATGAACTGAAGTGTCAGACAAGCAGTGGGAAAGTTGACCTGATGATGGTGCTAGATGGGGGGGGGGATTAGGACCACAGATGTTTCTTCTAAATGTCAATCCATCCAGTAGTTTTTAAAATATTTAACTTTGAAGTGTTAAATATGTGGCAGGATGTATTTCAGCTTGGTAAAAGCCCAGATACAACATATTTCATTCCTCACAGGTTATGTCTGTTCAGAACAACTCAATCTGATACTTTACCTTATTGTGAAAGCTTGATTCGAACAAGACTTGAACCTACAATGTTTATTCTTCTTCTTTAAAAGCAGGTAAAGGGAGGTTATTCTAAGTCTGTATAATGCCCAGTGCCTCTGATAATGCATGCACTGCACTCATCTTTTCAATATAAGGCACTTAACTATCAGAGGGGAGCTTACGCTAAACACTGTGTGTATGTATGTGTGTTTGTGTATGTATGAGTTGTATTTGTATGCGGTTACGTTGGGCCAGATCAGTCCCACACAGTTATAATGACAAATGAACAAATAAAAGTGATTTGAGGTATAATGCTAAGATTTGTGTCGAGTGTATGAGTATATCTCTGACTGCACAGCTGTGTTTCCTGTCTTTGTGTCTTAAATTAGTCACTTTGTTAATGTGTAGACCTGCGTTGTTATTAGGGATACAAAAAGCAGAAGACAAAAGTTATATTTTCCCTTCCAAATGAGTTGTATGTCAGGACAGAGCCTGAGATAATATGATGGCATTTGATACCATATTTCTTTACATTCAATGTTGTATATGTTTCTCTGTAGGCTTTGTGTTTTGGGGAAAAAAAGCTCAAGCAGAAAAATAAATCCTTACCTTCCTTACCCCCTCCTCTGTCAGCTTTTAGCTCTGGTCTTTACTCGTAATTTCATCTCGGCTGCTTAGAGACATTTTAATCTGTCGTCTCCTTTAAAACAATAGCAGCTCTCAGAATAAACGCCTGCCGCTGCATTGCATGAGCTGGCGGCGACGAGCGGAGGGGATCTGCGTAGACTATAGGGACTCCATTCTCTCCGTTTCTCCCCCTGTTTTTCAGTCTGACAGTTGGCCTCGTGATTCTCCGCAAGGTGAGTCATCAGAGGTCTGGGTTCTGGTTGTGTTAACGTACAGGCTCGGCAGGGGAATCTCACTGTCTTTCACCATTATACATTCAATTTGAGTAGATTAAAAAAAAAAAAAGGCAGTGAGGTTCAAAAAATTTGACATTATTATAAGCCATCAGGAGCTGTTAACTACTGTGTGCAGTGAAAGACCACCAACAAAACAAAAAAAAAACCTAACACACCTCTGTATCCATCTCTTTTCCTTTTTTACTCACACAGAGTGCCTGTGAGCTGGAAGACCCCTGGTAGCCGTGGCAACGACCCCCGTCTCCTCCTGGTGATCGGTGCGTCCGCCCCAAAAGGAGGAGTGTCTCTCCATTGCGCCATGTCTTTCTCCACTAAAAAGAGGACATGTGGTGTGTGTTGGAGTGTGTGAGTGTGCGTATGTTGGTTGTGCATGTGTGTGTGTGTGTGTGTGTGTGTGTGTGTTTGCAGCAGTGGGACAAAGACGACAACGACAACAACTACACACACACGCGCATACTGCTTTAAAACCTGGAGGAAAAACAAAAATCACTTTTCAGAAATGTCAAGATTTTATGAACTGAAGCATTGTGATGGTAGAGATGATTTTTACCATTGAGGTGTTTTTTTTTTGTCTGTTTTTTTTTTTCTTTTCTTTTCTTGAATGTTGACATTGAACACCTGACTTCACAATGACATGAGGACCTATAGTGTGTTTGTGTGTGCGAGAGAGAGTCTGTTTGTGAGCGCAGGGCCAAGAGAAGACAGACAGTGGATAAAGACTTTGTATGTAATTCTTCTTCTCCTGGACTTTCTTTCTTTTTTTTTTTTTTGTGCTCCTGGGTCTGATAATTGCCTAACACCTTTTGCTTCTCCCCTCTTAAAAAGACACACACACACACACTCTCTCTAACACACACACACAGACACACCAAAACCATAAACACCCCCCTTCCACCCCCCACCCCCCCACTTCCACCTGTGCACGTATGTGATGTGCCACCTTCGCAGGGCACTGCATGAGGACTTTGGTTCAACATGTACAGCTACGTGGTTTTCTAGTCGACCCGGATTGACGGCCATTGGTTGAGACTGAACCCGGAGGACCTCACTCTGATTGGCTCCTGTCGTGTGAGAAGTGGGAATGATTTGGATTGGAATCTTTTTTTTTTTTTTTTTTTTTGTTGATACTATTAGGATAATGACGATGATAATCATGACGGGGAAATGGGAGGTTATCTAGTTCACTGAAGAGCTGAGTGCAAGTTGGAACTCATGGAGGCGGGGTGGGTGGGTCTGTTGTATCACTGGTTGGACTTCCTGTCGGAGGAGGGTTAGGGCAGGAGGGTGGTGGGCCAAAACGGGCTTCCCCACTTCCCTCCCAACCATTACGGTTGGAAGTACGGAAGTACACATGACGGCGGACTGTCCTGACAGTGGAAAGATTTATTTTTTTTGTTAATTTTTTTTAAATGTTGTCCATGAGGTTACTAGCTGCTCGCTATGTAGAGTGAGTGAACTCCCTGTTTTAACCCTGTTCCTGGTTCTCAGACTGCATTGGTAATGTTTGTATTGCTGTTGTTTGATTGCACTCACATTTGATTACAGAAAGCGTCTATATATGAAATAAAATACCTGCCAAGGATCCACTGGTGGCTGTGTATTTTAATAAGAGAGGTCACGTCATTTGTGTGTGTGTGTGTGGGTGTGGGTGTGTGTGTGTGTGTGTGTGTCGTCTGTGTGGGCTTGTGAAGGCTCTCCATACCTGTGTAATCTGCTGATGGTTGGACCGCATTCTCCACCTTGACGGGCCTTGATCTAGATCATGAAGCAACGTAAGTGGGTAAACTAGCTGTCTTTGAGCTTAAAGGACCAGTGTGTTGGATTTAGTGGCATCCAGTAAAGTAGTTATGTATTGCAACTCACTGGCTTCAGTCTCTGGGCTCAAACACGAAGGAGGAACTAAGAAGGTGTTTGGTTTGTCTGTTCTTATTTTCAGGTGATTATATGCTCATGAAAACTATTTCTGACAATAGATCCTCTTAAATGTTAAACACCGGACCTTTAAGGTTACCTTAAAGTAACAAATAATAAAGAGATATTTTTTATATTTTTAGTATAATCACTGTATTGAACAAAAAGGAAAATAGCAAGGAAGAACAAACACATTTTTTAATGAATTGGCCAAAGGCTTTTTAATAAATTCCTTCCTCGTTGGTATTTTTTTTGGAGTGCCTGGATTTTGTTCATCCACTCCGTTTCCAAGAACACCTGATACACCCTTTTATCTACGATTGACTATTTAGAGCAACCAGTCATCCTCCTTTCCCCATAATCACTTTATTGTTCCAGGCTTTGTTTAAAACAAACTGAGCTAAAGTTCACCATGCTGTGTTAAATGCTTTTTACACTCTTATTCCATCATTGCAGCTCAGTGGTAATAGAAATTATATGTTGTCTTTTATTAGAAAAACATCCACACTTTTAATCAGTAAATAAATGCATCATTTTGGGTCTGTTAGAGCTCATCAGGACTTCGTCTCCTCTCTCCTCCCTTCTCCCCTCTGCTTTGGCAGGAGAAACAGTCTTACGTTACTCAATTGTTTGTTCATCAAATGACAAAAAACAACTATATCACTATTTTCACAGCACGTTTAAAAAGATGTAAAATTGTTCCCACAAGTATTTATAGCTTTACTTTTGTTATTCAGGTACTTTTCCAATGTTTCTACAGCTAGAAAATATAAATTTCCCCGTCCGGTAACATCGTTTGATCTCATGCTAAATATTCCATCGTGGTTTTGATGATGTTGCAAGTAATTAAAAAAAACAACTTTCACATTAACTGGATTGGAAACCCCAGAGAGCCCATTGATAACCAGCTTCATGAATACGGTTGGCTGGAAAAGCCAGTTCAGCTTGCTTCATCACATAGGCAACCGGAGCAGACATAAAAACAGCGTTGTCAGTCATTTTGAAAGCTTCCACCTACATAATTTCCACTTTCGGTTGTCTTTCCGTGTTTTGTTTCAAAGTTGTGACTGACATTTCTTTAATATACAAATGATGTTTCAGTGAGGGCAGTTGGGAGGAGTCAATGGGTCAGGAGCCTCACTGAAGTAGTACAGAGAAGATACTTACAAAGCAAAAAGGGAAATTGGTAAAATAATCAAAACAAGTGCAGAAATAGCAGAAATATTAGAGATAGAAGAAAAAACTGAAATGTAACTATATGTATATTGTATATATCAGGTATCCAGAGTACATACACAGTGTGCAACATATAAATAACAGTATTCACTCTGCCAGTATGTAATGATAATGAGTATATTAGCCAGACCTCCAGATTACCTCCTTGATTCAAACAGAATGAATGACGTAAAATACATTTGTAATTAAATTGGAATTACTGGGATATGAACATATTCATTGTGGTAACTAAAACCAACCTGCCAACCTACTGTAGGTCCACCAAATATATAAACACTGCAGGCTGTAGTTAACTATTTACTCTTACCACTTGAGTAAAGCATCAGACATCCACAGATATTTTGTCAATGTAAATCAACCTTTAAACATGAACCAGTCTCTGAGGGAAGTTCACCTGAAGGCTCCATGTTACTTTACACCCACACAGGTGATTTCACTTGACTTGGCTCAGCACTGTGTTTGTGTGTACTGCGGTTGACGGGTTGTCTTCCTTACTCTCCTCTTCGTATCTCTCTTTCACCTGTTGAGGTAGGAAAAATAAAGACATCTATCTATCTATCTATCTATCTATCTATCTATCTATCTATCTATCTATCTATCTATCTATCTATCTATCTATCTATCTATCTATCTATCTATCTATCTATCTATCTATCTATCTATGATTTAAGCTTAATACGAACATTAGCATTCTATATATTTTCACTACACACTACAAAGACTGCCTTCCAAAGAAAGACATTTTGATAAATGATTTTATGTGCTCCATTGACACACACACACACACACACACACACACACACACACACACACACACACACACACACACACACACACACAAACCCTGTCTAATCTGTCACTCTGTCATAATTTGATCATAATCCCTAATCATAATCACATCGTATCTTAAAGGTGTTCTCAATCTGGAGTGGGATTATGGGATTGTGGAGCGTGTGTGTTAGAGTGTGAATGAGCAGTCCGAATATGTTACGATGATGGTGCCTGTGATGTGTGTGTGTGTTTGTGTTTGTGTTTGTGTTTTGGGAGGGGGGGGTTAAAGGGGTGAATTTAATTTGATGATGGTGGGGTACGGCGTGCGCCCTCTCACTGATTTACCCACTGAATCCACTTTAAGCCTGATATTAACAATAAAACAATAGACACTGACCCATTAAAACGCGTTTGTGCACCCCTCAGCAGTTCATCTTTAATCTCTCTCACTTTAATTTGTTTTTTGTAAAAGTACAT